GGCCTCGAAGCCAGCGGCGGGGCCTTCGAAGCCGACTGCGGCATCGCGAGGGGCAGCAAGGGGCATCAGAACGGGCGAAAAGCAGCGAGGGGCATCAGATCAGGCAAGCGGACCCTGACAACCCTTCAGAGTTGGCCAGGAAGCCTCAGGCGAGAGCACAGTTCCCAAGTAAACGATCACGAAGTCCACGCAAGAGCGCACATTCTGAATGGCGAGAGAGCGCGCGCCTTCGAAAAATTGCAAGTAAGTCGAAGGCGGAAGCGCGAGTCTTGACTACACAGCGAAGAACTCCCATGCGGGAGCGGGGGGGGAGGAGGAGGAGGAGGAGGAGGAGGAGGAGGAGGAGGAGGAGGAGGAGGAGGAGGAGGAGGAGGAGGAGGAGGAGGAGGAGGAGGAGGAGGAGGAGGAGGAGGAGCCCAACCAGTTTTGAGGAAGAGTACGAAGCGGGAGCCGCTGTCGTGACGGTTCGGAGGCCAAGGGCCCGATTAGAGCCTCGGGGCCCTCCCCGGCAGCAAACAGGGTGTGGGCCCCGGGAATGACTACCTACCAGACCACCCCAACCCAACCCGAAGACCCGAATTTCGGGTTGGGGGGGGGTATGGGCTCCATATGTGTTTTTTCGATGTTCCCGGACCCCCCCCCCCCACTAGAAATCGAGGGTAAATCTGAGCCCTCGGGTTGGGTTGGGGTGGTCTGGTGGGTGGTGAGGGAAGGGCACTTCGATTAAAACGTACAATGTGCGCCGGAGGGGGTGTCCAAGCGCTCGGTGCCCGCTCTCTTCGTGTTCGATCGTGCCAATCTTAACTGCAACGTGTATTTCGCACAGCCCCTGAAGCCAAGGAACACAGGGCGGATGGAAGGAAAGGACAAATGGGGAGGGAGGAGGATGGAACACACAGGTCGGGAAGACGGGCCCAGGCGGCCAGGTCGAGCAGGCGGGTTGCTGAAGCGTGCGTCCTGCATGTATCGCAAGGAAATCTCGAGAGACAACGGGGTGTCCAAATAATTCGCGAGGAAATCCACAGCGAGGGAATGATTCCTGAATGTCGAGGGAGCGGCGTCTGTATAATTTGCGAAGAAATCCCACGCGAGAGCGCGATCTTTGAATACATTGTGAGGAAATCCAGCGCGAGAGCGCGACTTGGGAATAAAGTGGGAGGAGCTATCAGGCGGGAGCCGCTGCTGCTTTAAAGCAAAGGCCAACGACCCAATTCTGAGACTCAAGACTTTCCGGGGCGCGAGCCCCGGGAACGGCCCTTCAATTGAACAACCCAGCGTGCCCCCGAAGAGGGCGATCGACAAGACATGTGAGTGAGAAATGAGAATTCACCACCAACAGCAGAAACGGCAGCTCCACTCTGATACTTCCTCACATATTCTTCCAAGCCCGTCGACGGCCCCTGCAACCCGGTAGTTGCTAGCTCGATGATCTCGTCATGAACATGCCAGGCCGGGAGGGCCGCGCGACGTCGACGAGCTGCTGGACTTCGTTACACTGCTGATCGCGGACCTCCGCCACCTGGAACGCAACAAGAAATTCCATCTCGCCACGGCCTGTCGACTCGTCGCCCCGCTCCTGCGCGACGGCGCCGTCAGCGCCAGAGGCGCCAAAACGCAGCGGCGTAAGTGCTGGCGTTCGGAACGTGGCAATGGCGTCCAACCTCTCCTTCTCCGCCGCGAGCTGCCCTCCGCGCAGGGCATGCTCCATGAGATCGCGCTTCTTGAGCAGGGTTTGAATCAGCGCGGGTGTCTTCGCCGCGACGCCAATTGCCCTGCTCGCGGAAAATTTCTCCTTCTTCGGAATATCACCGTCGGGCGCAGGGCGTGGGAAAAGTCCAACACGTGGACGAAGAAGCCCTCGGCCCGCCCGGAGTCCGACGCGCCCCTCGCCGCGCGAGCGCGATCCGCGCGAACAGCGCGGGGTCGCGGAGCTCGGGGCAAACGGCTTCGGCCAGGACGAACGCTGCGCGGCGGCCATCGTCGCCGACGTAGGCGTAGACGCCTTTCAAAGCCACCGCAAGCGCTAGCGTCGAAGAAACTCAGCGCCGCCGCGTGGCAGTCGTCACCCCCTGGTAGAAGCCGCGTCCTTATCAGGACAGACGAAACGGCGTTGAACGGGCACATCGCGCGGTCCGTGTGGCCCGCCTGGAACGCCTCCGCCATCGCGGCGCACCGCGCGACCGCCAGCGCGCGATCAGCCGTGGGCAACGGCTCCGCCATGACCGCGCCACGCGAGTCGGCCGCCTGGCGCTGCGCCGCCTGGCGGTCAACGACCCTTGCGGGCAAGGGCGCGTCGAAGGACAGGTAGCGCAACTGCGGCCTCGAGGAAGAGAGGCAAGCGGCAACGCGACTCCTCACACCACGCCAACATGGCGCTCTCGATCCGGCTGCTAGACAGCTCATCGGTGTCAGAGACAACGGTGTCCAACATGAACACCGTCCCCGCTACATCGTACTGGTGAATCTGGTTGAGCGACGCTGAGAAGCTTTCGAGATTCAT